CCGGGCCCTTAGGCCACCAGGACGGAGCCACTGCCTCATCTTCCTCGGTCCCCCCTCCGCTCTAAGAAGACAATACAACTCCCCCAAACCATCTGGTCACCCAATTCCAGGAGGTCCCTGTCCCCGCAGGGGCAGACGCCACGACCAGAGCACTATTCGCGGCAATCAACCAGACCAATTACCTCATCTTTGCCCAGGGGGAAAGATTGAGGGCGCTAGAGGACGACAGAAGACCCCCGAGGAGACACAGAAGGCCTCAGACCCCACCTCCTCGAAGAACAGAGGTACGTCTCCCATCTCCCCCGTGGAGACAATACAAAGACGCCTCCCGAAGCCCGTCACCCTGACAACCGGGGAGACGACCCCCCTTGAAGAGGGAACCAGTCATTGAAGCCGGAGGGTGCAACCACATCCCCTTGCGGCAAGAACGAAGACATCCCGGGGACAGGCATGGAAGGACGGATCAACGAGCGCATCGCTCGAGGGACGCCCAACACGATCAGGACCGTCGTGCCCGATAATACCTCAGGTCCCCTTCCCTTTCCCTGGAACGAAGTGACGAGGACGACCCTCGCGGTCCCCTATCATAAGCCATCATGGAGGCACCAATCCCCCCGGGCATGGAGAAGCCCCATCACTAGATGGAATGCGATGGATTCGCCGACCCGGTCGATCATATAGACGGGTTCGAGGCTATGCTGCACTACCATAACGTTAGGGGACCCATCAAATGCCGGTTGTTCCCCACAACCCTCAGGAAAACAACAATGGATTGGTACAAGGGTCTTGCCCCGGGGTCAATCCCCCTGAACTGGCTGGCGGGCCCATCCTTGTGGCTTGCAGTGCCCTCACCAACCTCTTGTTTATCTCCTTGTCTTGGGTTAGCTTCAATAACCTTTCTCGTCGTTCAGCCATGTGACCTGCAAAGAGGAGCGAACCCGGGTTAGCTACAAGCCAGCAAAAACAATAAAATGGAATAAAACAATGAGAGCAGAAGCAAGAAACCTAGCAGATCTACAGTCTGCCCGTAGAACTAGCACTCAACGAGTGCCTTGGTGTTGATGGGACGCGCCTCGAACGTCGGGTACCCATCCTCATCAAGAATGTCATCCCCTTCCCTCGTAACCCATCGGGCAGGGAAGAAGCTATCAACAAACTTGCAAAGGACAACATAGGCCTCCTCGTCCTCGACGCTCATGCTCCCCGTGGGTGTATGATAGTGCCCAGTGCCATGATCGTAATGACCCGAGCACCAATGGATCGGGAACTTGGAAATACGCCCGACTGTGGGACTACCCTCAGCATCCACGAGGGACTCCCCGTCCGCGTCGACCACCACAGTTTCCGATTCGAACAAGGAGTCCAGGGCGGTTTGGGTGACCGGTTGCAGCACATACCATTTATCCTTGAAATCCCTTACCGAGTCCATATACATCCTGAACAGCCTCTTCGACTGTTTTAGGGATACCCAGCTGTGCCTACCTCCTCGAGACTGACGCTGCAGGTGAAAGACCCTGAAGAAAAGGGGAATCGTCGCCCTAATTCTCAAGAAATGACACGTCAGCTCGAACGCCCGAAGGAAGGAGATTGCGTTGCGGTGAAGCTGCGAAAGGGTCAGGTTCAGATGGCTAAACACCCCGACCTGAAAGTCACTAAAGGGTAGCTTAAGACCGAGATCCCTGAACATGATCTCGTACATAGGGAACGCATACTCGGTAAACTCCAAGCAGATACGGGCATCGATCATCGGCCTCATTATTATAAAGTTCTTTTGAATACACGACTGAGTGCCACCATGCTCAACGATAGTATAAGCACGCCGACTTCGACGACAGTACGCCAAAGCAATCCCCCGGGGCTCGGTGCCCACCCAGTCCAACGTAGGGTCGTCAATGGTGTCGACTAATGTAATGTTCTCTTCGGTACTTGTTTCCTCGACGTCGTTTTGCCTTGAGGATTCTGGATTATCGGCCATTTACCTGCAAAGCACAGGAAACCGATGAATTCGAGAGCAAATCCGCGTGCTCGCCATAGAGGCAGGAAGAAGTATACAACAAGCCAAACACGGACACCCCAGCTCCGACCGTGTATCGGGGATAACACGAGCGTAGTATGAGCGCCCCAGGCGAATCATGAATCACTCGAGCAAGTTCCTGACTTCGCCTACCCGAAACTAGGATACCGCGAGGAGACTACCCTGCATACTTCCTAAAAGGATGAATATCCCGACCAAACACATGAGGATCACGAGCAATATCATGAGCTATACGCCCAAAACTATGAATCTCACGGGCAATATCAATAATTATGTGCCTAAACTATGAATACCACGGGCAATCTCATAAATTAGGTCCCTAAACTATGAGTATCTCGGGCACAGTCATGAATTTATCGGGCATTACTTCCAAATATGGATTTCTAGTATCAAAAATAGCATCAAAACTACCTACAACGAAGAAAAACAGGAGGAACAAACACTTACTTGGAAGAAAAGAGGTACGAACGACGGCGGTGGGAGGAATCAACGACGAATGATGCGGTGATCTCACAGCGTTGCAGGAAAACGACGGCAGCGGAAGCAGAGAAAGAGGGAGGAGCGTGAAGAGGAAAACCAAATTATGGGCCCAAGGGTCCTATTTATAAGGATGACGTGGAATTTAAAACGTCGCACCGGGGAGACACGAACTTCCCTCGTCCTCAACACCTACTCCCCTAGGCAATGATGATCCTATTTGCTAGGGTGACGTTACAATTCCCAAGGACTGCGCCACGTACCCGACGAACGCAGCCCGTGTATCCCTGCGGTAAAAGCAAGCTGAGATCAAGTCATAACTCATGCGCCAGGAGCAACGACTTGGGGGGCTCATGTTTTGGACTGGGCCCGCCTTGGCCCAAAATGCAGATAAAGGCCCAGATCCAAGCAGCTCCTCGGGGAATGCTCACAAACGGACCATCATCGAACGTGCCCGACCACAGGCTACAGCTGCTCTGCCCGCCATTGCCCTCGACGAGCAGCGTCCCCGACCAAGGGAACTCCAGCTCGAGGCCAGCTCGAGCATCCTCCCCGTAGGACAGATTCTGTCCACTCTAACCGTTATAGAATCCTCAAAGCTCCGGAAAGACCGCGTCTTCGTCCTTCCTCATTCTTCGCAGAGCACCACCAAGAAGGGCACCGTGTGCGGGTCCCCACTACACACGTAGAGCCTGGCAGTTTCTTTATTGGACCAGTTCTGGTCAGCCCAATGAGGGGGACCTTGGCCCAACGCTGGGGGCTATAAATACTCTCTGTTTCAAGAGGGTCAGGTATTCATCTATCACACGCCTATACACTTTTTTCCTGCCTATTTCGTCTCTCATTTTAGCATCGGAGTGTCTTGTAGATACTCCCCATCTCTCTCAAGCTCAGTTCGAACCAACTGTGACGGTCCAAGTCTGATCCGATAAGATCAAATTGTATTAACATTTACAGTACATATTTACATAAGGATTGAGCAAGAGGTTGAAGATAAATCGTATACCTTAACATTTTCTTAAAGAGAAAATTCATAGGTTTTAAAGAATATAAAATTTCGTTTTTGCAAAGGATGGAAACTAGGCTACCGATGAAATAGCCCATTCTATAGATTTGAACTAAATAAAATTTGGATTAATGACTATCAAATTGTAATCATCAATCAGGCTTAGAAAAACCAGAATTCGATAGGTTAATAAACATCAGTATTAAGCCACATTTATAAAAAATGTCTTCAAATATTTTAGTCAACACTTTTATTTGTTACCAGTATATTATGCTAAATTTTTAATTAATTTATTTGTTTTATTTACACGCTAATTAATAATATACCGATTTTTCGATGTGTGAAACGTTACACGCTAAGTATTTATTTGAGTTCATTTGATTTGTTTTTCCAAAATAACAAAAAGAAACCTAACTTTTCACGAAGGGGAAAAGTGAAAAACAAAAAGTGGTATATGATGCATGTGAAGTTGTATCTTAAAAGATTAAAATAAGTAATAAAATGTGAAGTTGTAAAAAAGAAATTGACACGTGTGAAGTTGTATCTTAGAAGATTAAAATAAATAATTTTATAAATAAAAAAATTGGTAGTGCGAAAGAAATTCATATTGAGAAAGTGACTTTTATAAATCTATAGATATAAGAAACTTTTTAGCAACATGTACACGCTTTCATGCATTTTTTATAAAATAAAAGAACATTAGAAAGCATCTTTTGTAAAATTTTATTAAAACTTGTATTCGGTATTTTTTTTATTACTAATTTTAATATTTTTACGTGACAGTAGTAACATGGCTATTTTATGACATGATATTTTAAAATTTTAATAACTTAACAATTATATATATATATATATATATATATATATATATATATATATATATATATATATATATATATATATATATATATATATATATATATATATATATATATATATATATATATATATATATATATATATATATATATATATATATATATATATATATATATATATATATATATATATATATATATATATATATATATATATATATATATATATATATATATATATATATATATATTAAAGTAAAATGATTAGTTTACTGATTAATATATAGATATTTTCAAGGTTTAGGATTTAGTTGATATTTTTAAATTTTATTAACTTGGTCTTTTTTAATAAAATAATAATAATAGATTGATTTTAATTAGTTTAAAAAATGAATTTATTCATAGACGTATCTTTCCTTGAACAACTTGCTCATCAACATAAAATTAATCACATTTTTTGGTATTATTTCTTTATATAAATGTAGACATCTAATCACACTCATAAGTAGCCTCAACATTAAAATTCCCTAGAGTATATACAAAAATTATTTGCACAAAACTCAATACAATCTTCCTCCTAACTAGGCAAGCCAATCTGCAGCTTCTTTGAGAAAGTTCTATAAACAAATATGATAATCTCTATCATAATATTTACTTTTCTTTAATGGAGATAGATCAAGAACCACAACCACAAAGTTCTGGTTAGTTTCTCAATCAAACTCACCTTTTATGTTGAATTATGTCTAAGAATTTTAGTGTAATTTTATTTTGTAGCACTGTCACCTTTAAAAAAATGTCTAATATAATTTTTTTAAAATTATTATCGACATCAAACTAGTTAATCTCGATTTTCTTGAATGTAGATAACACAAATACAAATATGATTCAACAACCTCAAGATCCAAGACTCAAAGATTACGGATGGTGGTTTCGTGTAATTCTATATATAATTTTTCTCTTAGCAGGCCAATCTTTCTCCCTTCTCTTGGAAAGATTATATTATGACAAAGGTGGTAACAGCAAATGGATGGTCTCATTTGTTCAATCATGTGGATTCCCCTTACTACTCCCACTCATTTGTTACTTCAAATCAAAAGAAAATTTCAAGAACATATTCAACATCAATGATAACAACTCCTCCATAATCAAACCAAGAAATTTCAGCATCTATCTAGGGTTTGGCATACTTTTAGAAGGAGTGTTCTTGATGTATTCCTATGGACTTCAATATCTTCCTCTTTCCACTTTTTCTCTAATATGTTCAACTGAACTAGGATTCAATGCATTATTTTCTTTCTTTTTGAATTCTCAAAAGTTTACAGCATTAATATTCAATTCTGTGTTCCTTCTCACCATATCAACTTCGTTGCTCGCTGTTGATTCTATTTCTGAAGACTCAATGGATATTCATAGAGAAAACTACATACTTGGTTTTATCTTCACTCTTTGTGCATGTGCTACTTTTTCTCTATATCTTGCTCTTGTTCAATTTTCTTTTGAGAAAGTTATAAAAAGAGAAACCTTTGATGCTATCTTGGACATGCAATTCTATCCATCCTTCATTGCTACATGTGCTTGTGTTGTGGGATTGTTTGTGAGTGGAGAATGGAAAAACTTGGACAAGGAGATGAAAGAGTTTGCAAATGGAAAAATGTCATATATAGTGACTTTGGTTTGTTGTGCTGTGACATGGCAAATATGTTACATTGGAATGTTGGGGTTGGTTTTTGAGGTATCTTCATTATTTGCAAATATAATAGGTTCTTTGGTGCTACCCTTAGTTTCAACTCTTGCTGTTTTGTTCTTTCATGATAAGATTGATGGAGTAAAATCTATGGCCTTGATATTGGCAATATGGGGATTTCTTTCATATATTTATCAAAATTATTTAGATGATAAAAAGGCTAAGGAAGTTAAGAGACTTTGTCTTGGGGTCTCAAAGGGTGAGGTAGAAATCTCTTTTGAATTGAGTTGAGAGAAGGAGAAAAATAAAATGTAATGTTGTTGATTTTGCATCTTTATTGATACTTTAGCAAGATATTAGTACATTTCTATAGATCACTTATGTTTTTCTTCTGATGTATACGAGAACTATATATATGTGTGCACTTGGATATCAAGTTATAACTATTGATCTTGTAAAAATGAGTTAATAATTGATGATATATGCGTAAAATAAATTGAATAATAAATTTGAATGTAAAAATCAGTTTTAGAATTAGAAGATGCAATTTATAACTTCACATTAAAATTTGTTAAAGTATGAGTTAAGGTCTAACTTAGGAGCAAATCACTGTGTTTAGGGACTTCAGATAAACTATGACGTTAGATCATTAGGATTATTAGACTCTCACACACAATTGTTCTTAAAGAAGGATCTAGATCCTCATAATGATAAGACGGTCACACCATAACAACATACCGGATAAACGTTTGAGAACCATCAGACGATATGGATGATTAGATCCTCTAACATGTGTCATCTATAATAGATATCTCTAAAAAAGATTCTAAGAAATCTAAACTCTATAACCTGAGACATACACTAAACATATGTATAAAGTATTTTTCAAAAGGCATACATACAAAGGCCTAATAATTACATATCAATATTTAAAATCTAAAGAGGGAGGAATCAAAGACTAAAAAATTTTAAATGTTGGTCAAACAAAACCAAACCATGAAAATATCCCACAAATTCCTAGAAAGGGTGAAAAATGGTAAAGAAAATTGAGAGATCACTACTATAAAAAATATATTACACATCGGACGCGAAATATATTTAATTTTGGCTACAGAAATGAGCTAGCAAAGAGAATCATGAAAATATGTCACTTTATCCCTCAGTGTTTTGAAAACCATCGAACCTCGGTTTCTGCACTTTTATTATTTTCAAAACTAACACATCATAACTCTCAGTTTATCAATAAAATCGAGGAGTAAGATAGATTGTTTTTTATAAAAAAAACTTGTTACATTATTTACACAGAATATTAATAAATTAATTTGTTTACAAACTACATTGTTTACCCAAAATATTACATTGTTTACATAGAATATTAAAATAAAAATTAAGTTTTCCGAAGATCTGATTTTAGAACTTCGAATCATTGAATTTCGAGATAGATCAAATGTTGGGTGTAAGTATATTCTCAATGACTTTTGCTTACATTTGTTTCTGATATAAAACAAAAATAAATGTTAGATAAATAAATGATTTTCTGCTAAAATAAATATTTAAGAATACAAACCTTAAACTCAGTTAATTTTCTGCTCTTGCAATCCATCATAGATATATTTTCATGGAAAATGCTCCTGAAAATCTTAAAGTGTTGGATGTAGATAGTTTCAAGCGCTTCATGATGTTTCATTATCTTTTTTTGATATTCAGAATATTTCTATAATGAAAGTTTTTTATATTTCACACGCATCACTAATGATAATGTCTTGAGCGTTGATACTCATGAAATAGACGACAGAGATTTGTTTAAGGACGATGATCAATATCCTCAATAATCACGCCAAAAATGTTTACCCCTCAGTTTCAGTAGAAAATCGAGGTGAATAAGCTTTTTTTTTTAACATTACATTGTTTACACATAATATTAAATACATTATTATAACAAATGCAGTTTCATCATAGTCGTTGTTATTCTTGAAAAACAACAAATCTTTGATGTAGTCCAGATTTTGTGTGCATTCTTTTAAATTTATATGGATTGCATGCATCCAACTTCTAAGGTGTTATCTATTCCAATTAAGGAGTTATTTATTCTAAACATTAGAACATGTATTTTCTGCTCTTGCTATCCAAACTTCTTTAAGTTCCAAATTTTCGTTATCTTAAGTTAATATTTTCATGGCAAATGCTTTCACAAGAAAGATATATAGTGGTGGATGGAGATAATTTGATGTGGATTGATTTCTTGACAATATCTTGAGCGCTACTCCTTTATAAATTCAGGGTAGATATTCATTATTGTGGCTGTGTAACAAAATCTCTCGGTGTTTTAAAAAAAACCGAGGGAGAAATTATTTTCTTCTTTTAATAGAAAAATAAAATAAGGTAACCCCTCGATTTTTGTGAAAAACCGAGGTAATAAGGTTCAAGCAAAAAATAGTGATGATAAAAAAATTAAAAGTACATGTCATGTTTTCATTTCAAATTTTTTCCAGTCTCCATTTTTTGTATGCAATTTACACCATTTAAAAAAATAAATTTCTCAATGTTGTCAACCCAGGAAAAACAATGTTGTTTTCTTTGATTGACAATATTGAAAGGTTATTCTAAAAATACAATAAAACAACATCAACACTATTATGTGAGATAAATTTCAAGAACATAAAGAATGTTTTGTTCAAGATAGAAGAACATTAAATATTTTTTCTGTCTTGTAATCCATCCAAAAAGAAGGATGCATACGAGTTTGGGGCGGCTAGATATAAGTTAGGATTAGGGTAAAATTTGTTTAATGAGAGATTTTATAGTAAAATGTGATTATTGTATCCCTTGATTATTACGAAAGCCAAAGGGATAGATCATTTAGTTTACACTTATAAAGAAATAAAAACATAACCTATAATAGTTGTGATTCGAAGCATGTCCCGAATTATTTTTCCCCTCAGTTATATTAAAAACTAAGGGAATGTATTATTTTTATTTTATTTTTAATAAAACAAGGCGTATCTTGCCATTATACCTCGTTCTTTTATTGAGGTGAAAGCTTTGTCATGAAATATATTATTTATAGTAGTGGACCAACCAGATTCTCAAGGTAGGCACACATGTATTGGAAGGAATGAATATAAGCCTAATTGATCTATCTTAAATCTCTTGAACACATCATTTGTGACTCTCTTAGTCAACAAATCTGCAATTTGGTCTTCACTTCTACAATATCCTAATTTTTACTTACATTCACTTACAAGCTCCTTCAAGTAGTGAAACCTCATCTCAATGTGTTTGATCCTCCCATTTACATTTGGGTTCTTAGAAAGATTAATGGCTGAAATATTATCAACCAAGAGTGTGACAACCTCCCCCTAATTACTTCCCACCTCTTCCAATAAATTCATTAGCCACATGGCTTGGCACACACATAACGAAAAGGCAATATACTCGGCCTCATAAGACGAAGTGAAACTACCAGTTCCTTCTTCGAGCACCAAGAGATTGGTGCTCCCTAGAATATAAAGATGTATTCAGCTGTAGACTTTTGATCATCTTTATCTCTGTACCAATTGGAATCGGTAAAACCAAGCAAATTTCATTTTCTGCCCATATCCGTTGCGGGAAAGAGAAATTTGCAGCCAATGAACCCTTTGACGTATCTCAGGATTCTCTTGATTGTTGCCAAGTGAGAAACCTTTGGTCTCTCAATGAATCTACTCGCAATACTGACACTAAATGCCAAATCCGATTGCATATTGCACACGTAACATAATGATCCAACCAACCTTCACTACTATAAATCGTGTAAACAACAATGCCATGGTCACCACGGTTCTTCCCTACACCGTGGTGACATATCTAAACTAAGGCGCTCCATATTATTTTTGTTTTTTGATTTAAAATTAATTGTATATAACAACAGTTGATGAGCCAACCGTGCTGAAATAGTCAAGTTATCATGGGTTCGAACCTCAATGCCATTATATATATTATTCCATTAACATTAAGGCGCGCCTTTTCTTTTTTATTTATTTTTAAATAAAAAACTTAAAGGGTTATGACTACGGTTGTTTCATTCCACCCCTGTGATATTATTTAATTTATTTTTTCATTTAAAATTTTTAATTGTAAATTAAACTCTGGCACTTCTTTATGAATTTTCATATGAAAGTAATATATCATAACGGTTTCTGGGTTTGGACGTGGTGGTATCCTTATAATATTATACACTCCTAGTTAGCTTGTCTCTTTAGTATCCTTTTTCCATTGAAAAAAGAAACTAGATGCAATAATACACGATTTCAACCCTAAACCCTAACGTTCAAACTATGAAACAATACACCATCGTTCATTCTAGCTTGTCTCTTCAATATCCATTCTTCACTATTTATTCGTCTTTTTCATCATCATCGTCAAGAAGTTTGACAAGACCATCACGATCGTCATCACCGTTAATAAGGAAGAGTACAACAACACCGTTGAGAAGGAAGACGACAACAACACAGTCATTGCCATAATGGAGGAAGAAGAAAGACGACAACAACATCGTCATTGCTGTAACGAAGGAAGAAGGAAGACAAAAACAACACCAACATCATTTAATTAGTCATTACGTTTAAGGTACGTAAAATATTTTACTCATGCATCTACAGTAAACTTCATTTGCCATTGTTGTTGTTGTTTATGTTGTTAATTTTCATGTTGTTGTTGATTTTGAACATAGATATCATAAAGAAAAAAGATGTCACAAAGAAAAGAGATGTCACAAAGAGAAGAAACCATATCGAGTTCTTCATCAGATTATAACGAAGAAACTGAAACAAATGAGTGTTGTGTGAATGAAACTCAAACAAATGATACTCAATCAAAAATTTCACAAAGAGGTATCACAATGATGCACCAATTCACATCAGTCTACAACTCATCAGATGAAAAAAATTTGACCGAATTTGATTTGTACTACATAGTAGTTGATTATGAACACTACTCAACTTTTAAGAGTTATGTTTTGTTCCTTGAACAGAGCAAAGTAAGTATATTGATAGATGATTTGAAATCAATGGATGCGAAAGTCAAAGAAAGCATATGGAATGACGTTAAGGTATTACATACTAATATTTTCATATAATAGATATCACTACCTATAATTTATAATACATTGATTTAAACGTAGTTGAATTTTGAGTTTACCGATGACTCAAAGTTGCAAAAAAAATGGATCTCTTATGCCGATACTCGTTGTAGGGGATTTAAGTCACGAGTCACGGATGACTACATTAGGAAGCCTAAGAGTGGTCTTGCTC